ACATCCTACATGAGACCTCCGGCCTTCTGGGGTCACTCAGGTCTCCCCCGAGGAGCTTCCTCCAGGCTGCAGGGGACTGTGCCCCTCACGCTCAGCACTCTGCATAGGACAGGGGCCACCTTCCTGACTGTTCGGAGAGACTCCCCTAGGCGTAGCCATGGAAGTCAGCCTCAGGGCCTGGAGGGGCCCTCAGGGATGGAACAGACCATTCTACCCTCACAGCCAGCTCCCAAACCAGGAGCTTGCACCCCAACACTTCTCAGCCCCCCTCACTCAGGGAGGGAGGGGTGCCAGCCCCGGCAGGATGAATGCAAGCGGTTCCTTCTCTGGGTCTGTGATCATTACTTCAGACTGAGATAATGGCACTATTGCTGAGCAAAGAAGCAAGTTTCAGTTCCGTGATTTGAGCCTCAGCTTCTCAGTGTATAAAACGGGGGTGCCTTCCCAGCAGGACTGTGGTAAGAAGCTCTAGGACATCGGTGCTATCGTTTTTGTTATTCTATAGCAGTGGTCAGCAAACCGCGGCTCAAGAGCCACATGCGGCTCTTTGGCCCCTTGAGTTTTTAGCAAAGGCCAACTTAGGAGTATACCCTAATTAAATTAATAACAATGTGCCTACCTATATAGCTGAAGTTTAAAAAAATTGGCTCTCAAAAGAAATTTCAATCGTTGTACTGTTGATATTTGGCTCTGTGGACTCATGAGTTTGCCGACCACTGTCCTATAGCATCAGAGACTCAAGTCCCTCTGTCCTGACCAGATCTGAGCTGAGTTCTGGGAAACAGGGGAGCTCCAACCCCAGCCCAGAGTGAGGAGAAAGGGGGCTGGGCAAGATCCTCCCTTAGGGTTAATCCTGGTTGTGGGAGAACCACTTGAGGAGTGATTGCTCTGGGGAAGAGCCCACAGGCAAATGGCTAACAAAAGGCTGGCTCAGTTCTACTTTACTTATATAACTCATTTAATCCTAACCTGGTGTGGCAAGTACTCTATGATCCCCTCTTTACCGAGAAGAAATTAGAAGAAATTAGTGCAATGAGGGAGTAACTTGCCCGAAGTCACACAGCTCACCCATGGCAGAGCTGGGATTTGAATCCAGGGAATCTAAGCTCTCAGCTCACCCGCTCCTCTGCTGGGGCTCCTTAAACTTCACACCTGTGGCTTGTGTGACCCCGGGCTTTGGCCTCCATGTACGAACAAGGGATCTGGCTCTGCTTTGGGGAACAACAGAACAAGGCAGCTGGGAGCCGGGTTGTCCTCCACAGCCGGGTCTGGGTTGGGGTTCCCAGGACAGAGTCGGAAGAGAGAGGGATAGAGAGTTAGAAACATCGATGAGAGAGAATCATCAATCAGCTGCCTCTTGCTCCCTCCCCTGCCCCTGGTCTCTGCCGCTGCTGGGGGTACAGGACAGGGTGCAAGGCCAAGGCAGAGGCAGCTGCAGCCAGGGCCTCTGCTAGAGGACAGACCAGGGCCAGGTCTGGCTGAGTCCCAGGCCTCCCAGCACGTTCAGCATCCCTGGGCTCCTGCAGCTGTGGGCCCAGGTCACGCGACCTATTTGTGCACGGGGCCAGGCATGTGAGCACATGGCAATGATTATTCAGAGGAATCCAGCAAGGCCACACAGGACAAGGTTCTCGTGATCCCCCCTCGTTCCTGCTCAGCCAGGCTTGCCCTCCAGCAGGTTCTGAGAGGTGGCCCTCCCTGCTGACCCAGACTGGGGGCGGGGCTCAGGAAACACACGGCTCTTCTGGGACCAGGCCCATACCTTCTCCTGGATCCCTCAGGCATCTTGACTCAGGTCCCTGGGAATATGTGCACACGGGGCCAGCTGAGCTGCTTTCTGGCCCAGAACTGCAGGCAGGACAGCTCCTTCGGTTGGGCCTGCGGGAGCATTCGGTCAGGGGACAGACCCACTGTGTCCGCAGCAGCTCTCCCCTCTCCCCAAGACATGTCCTTGGCCCCTTAGTTCTGCCGCTCGGGGTCCTTCTCCAGGTCTCCGGCTGGGGCAGGTGCGACCATCTTGGGACCCAGGAAAAATCGCTGGAGTTGGGGCTGTGTGTGCTGGGTGTCCCTCCTCCCCGGCCTCCTCTCCCCTGCCAGCAAGTCCTTAGATGTCAGTGTTTCCCTACTCTGTTCTCAGTGCCTCTCAACGCCACTTCCAAAACCTAAACCAGCCGAAACCGGTTTGGCTCAGTGGATAGAGCGTCGGCCTGCAGACTGAAAGGTCCCAGGTTCGATTCCGGTCAAGGGCATGTACCTTGGTTGCGGACACATCCCCAGGGGTGGGGGAAGGTGCAAGAGGCAGCTGATTGATGATTCTCTCTCATTGATGTTTCTAACTCTCTATCCCTCTCTCTTCCTCTCTGTGAAAAATCAATAAAATATATTTAAAACAAAAACAAAAATCTAAACCAAACCACTCCCAGGATCTCAGCAACCCGACACGATCAGGCTGACTGTTCCCAAACCCACGTCTGCTGACAGGATTTCTCCCCAGTGAATCCCAGCTGCCCAGGGCACCTTTCCCTGGAAATTCACATCCGGCACCGAGTCCACATTCTCAAGAAACCTGTTCCTCCATCCATCCCCGAAACCAGGGCAGCTCCCTGGACTCCTCCCGTCCCCACAGCTGGTAGGCAGCCAAGCAGAGCCGTCAGCCCTACCCGCTTCCGTGTGTGGAATCTGTTCCCTGCGCATTTGTCTCATCTTAGTCACTTCTCTCCTGGTCTCTGTCCAACCCACCCCTGCGCAGCAGCCACAGTGACTTTCCTGTCATCATCACATCACTCCCTTGCCCAAAAACGTCACAGATGAGCCTAGGTTGCTCTCAAATTGAAGAGCAAGCTCTCTATCTTGGCATCAAGGCACTACCTCCGTGGTCGGCAAACTGCAGCTCGCGAGCCACATGCGGCTCTTTGGCCCCTTCAGTGTGGCTCTTCCACAAAAGTGTCACGGTCTGGGCGAGTCTGTTTTGAAGAAGTGGCGTTAGAAGAAGTTTAAGTTATAAAAAAAAATTGGGCTCTCAAAAGAAATTTCAATCGTTGTACTGTCGATATTTGGCTCTGTTGACTAATGAGTATGCCGACCACTGCTCTAGTTGATCTGGCCCACGCTTGAGCTTCATCAAAACTCAATACATTTTCCAAGTATTTATTTAGCATCTGCCTTGTGCAAGATTCTGAGGACACAAATGAGACATAGCCTGTGGCCTCAGGGCACCCCTCAAACCCTATGCTCCAGCTCCAGCCCTCCTCGTCCTCCTTCCTTTTTCTCAAGCACCTTCCTACGTTAGTCATCCCTCCCTTTCCTTCTCTGCTAGCTCTTTCTAAAGGCTAATGCAGCATCCGGGTAGACACAATGTGGATGGCTGCCTGGGATTGACCTGGAACAGACAGGTGGGCTCCCAAATCACATATGTGCTATAGGTAAGGTGGCCAGATGTCTCGATTTTTAAATTTGTCCCGCATCCCGCGGCGTTTTAAAAAAGTCCCGATTTTTCCAAAAATCGGGCCTTTTTTAAAACGCCACAGGATGCAGAATTGTTAAAAATCGGGACTGTCCCACCAAAAGCGGGACGTCTGGTCACCTTAGCTATAGGAGCCTGCTCTCACTGGTCACAGTTGGCTGGACCTGTGGTGGATTCTGGATCCACACAATCAGATTCTCTCACCTTTGTTCTTAAAACTCGGAACTGAGAGTTTAGGAGTCCCAGGCTTGGAGTCTCATTTACCCATAAAGCATTAGAGGTACCATGCCTGACCTCGGGTCTTCTGAGACCACCTGCTTCCTGTCCTCCTGAGTCAGCTGTCCCTTTAATTCTGTGCAAAACCCAGGATTCCTTTCCGTTGCTTGCAAAAGAAGCAAAGGATGAAGCTTCACTGTCTCCCTTGCCCCAATATTCCACCAGCAGCTGTGACCCTAATCCTTTCCTGTCAAGTGCTTGATCAGGTTTTTCACAATCAGCTGCACTCCCTTACCCTTCTCACCTACGTACTCCTGAGCCCACAGTAATTCAATAAATTTTCTGAGTATTTAGTTAGCATCTGCCTTGAGCAAGACTCCTGTGGACACAAATGAGACAGAGCCTGTGGCCTCAGGGAGCTCACAGTCTAGCTGAAAGGACATGCACAGTAAAAAAGAAGTGCAAATTGCAATAAAGATTAAGGTAAAATGTGGCAAGGGTGATGGGAGAGAAGCTTATGGGGTGTTATGAGAGGTTGGGGCTCACTGGGGGTGGGGCAGGGCCCAGCAGTATCTTCCAGCTCCGTGACAAAGAACACTTTTTAAAAATATATATATATTTTATTGATTTTCCACAGAGAGGAAGGAAGAGGGATAGAGAGCTAGAAATGTCTATGAGAGAGAAACATCAACCAGCTGCCTCCTGCATACCCCCCGCCGGGGATGTGCCCGCAACCAATGTATACATGCCATTGACCAGAATCGAACCTGGGACCTTTCAGTCCGGAGACCGATGCTTTATCCACTGAGCCAAACCGGTTTTGGCGACAAAGAACACTTTTTTGCACCAGTTCCAGGTCAGGAAAATCAAAACGAGCAACTTTTAATTTTTATTGGAAATAAAAATAGATTTATTAATACCTGTCAAAAACAGAATATATTATAACTATTTAGATTACCCACTTTATTGATAGGGGAAAAAATTCAATAAGAAACTTGGCACACTGATTTTCATCTGCTAAATGTTATCAACTGGTATATAATAATAACTAGTTAAGTAGGAAGGATGCAAACCAAGAGGCAGACAGAGCCCTCATTTCCATAGTCAGGTCCTTGATAGGCTTTATCCTGAGAATAGCAGGGAGCCATTGAGAGTTATTGAGCAAGAGAGGGTCATTGTCTCTTTGGTGGCTTGTGTCAGAGATGGAAGAATTGCTCCATCCCTGGTCAGTCCTTAAACCCTAGCCACCTCCATCCCTGAGGTTCATTGTAGTATTTACAATTCTTAAGCTGTCCGGCAAGGGGTGTCCAAAGGTCAGGGTTCAGAGGGAGAAATGGTGCCTGCTACCTTCTGTCCCCAGCTCGCTGGCCCCAGGCTGAATGTAATTGTCCTCAATGAAGCCATCATCATCTTCACCGGCCTCCGGACAGATCCCCTTCCTTGTCCTGGGCAGTGGGCGGTGCTGGTAGCTGATGCGGTACTTGCGGCAAAGGTGGCATTTGGCAGCAAGTGCAATGAGGAGAGAGAGGACCACAGCTCCCAGCACAACCCCCACCAGCACAGGCCATGCCCGGGCCCCAGAGCCTGGCCCAGAGGTCATGGCTGACACCGTGGGGAGTCCCGAGGGTCCCACAATGGCTGCAGAGAAAGGGACAGCATTATGAGTGGGCTCCAGATGGGCTTCCTAGGGAGACCGAGAGGAGTGGGGGCAGGGTCCTCCCCCGAACCCCAGCATCTAAGGGGAAACCGCCCCCCTCTTCAGCTTCCCTCACTGCTACTCACTCTGGTTCGTGTCACTCATGGAGTAGCTGGAAGACACCTGTGAGCCTTGGCTTGGTCAGAAGAGACCTGGCTCCAAGCAGGTCCCAGGTGACAGGCAGCCCTGGGGCACAGATCCTGAAACATACACACACGTGTGGCTGTCAGGGACGGCCACGGGGCACACGTAGCACGCCATACTCTCAGTCGTGTTAGGGTGCTACACAAACGCTGGAGACTGGACAACTAGCCATACACAGTTGTTCCCAGGAGAGAAACGAGCTGAGAAATGGGCAATTTGTAAGGAACTATTGCAGGGTCCAGCTCTGGACGTGGCTGAAAACATAAGTCAATGCTGGAACTTACACGGAGCACACTGTATGACTCGGGTGCCATGCTCACAGCAACCTGTAATGTAGGTATAAACATTATTCTCTTTGTAGGTGAGGACTCTCAGGCCCAGAAGGGTAAACTAATTCAGCCAAAGCTCCAGCCCAGGGCCCCGTTTGCCATATTGCATGATAAGCTGAGGATGGGAGGTGGGGGCAGAGGCGGTCCTGGCTCCCAGAGGTTGGACAACGGTCATTGCTTGGAGTTAACAAGCCAAAGTGGAAACCACATGTGGAAGACAGTGCCGATCCTCACCCAGGGCTGGGGGGGGGTCTAAGGCACAGCCAGAGTAGACTTGGCCCCTCTGCTCATGAGTCAGGAGCTCCTGTTAACCCACCTTCACTCTCAGCCCTTCAGGCACATCTCTGTCTATGCAACTGAGCCATTAGAAGGAGGCAGTATTCAGGAAGTCGCCAAGTGCAGACCACCTGAATCGGGAAATCATCTGGATGAGAATCACTAGGGCTGGAGAGGATCTAGAGAAGGAGCACCTGAAATAAGGGAGTATTTGGAGAAGATCATCTAGACCAGTGGTTCTCAACCTTCCTAATGCCTCGGCCCTTTAACACAGTTCCTCATGTTGTGATGACCCCCAACCATAAAATTATTTTCGTTGCTACTGTTATGAATCGTAATGTAAATATCTGTGTTTTCTGATGGTCTTAGGCAACCCTGCTAGCGGTTCTCAACCGGTTTTTGGGTTGTGACCCACTGGCTGAGAACTGCTGCTGTAGAGCCTAAGACCATCGGAAAACACAGATATTTACATTACGATTCATAACAATAGCAAAATTACAATTATGAAGTAGCAACAAAAATAATTTTATGGTTGGGGGTCACCACAACATGAGGAGCTGTATTAAAGGGTCGTGACATTAGGAAGGTAGACAACCACTGGTCTAGATGATCTTCTCCAAATTCTGATCTAGACTCAGAAATACCTGGAGGAGCACCTGAATCAGAGTGGGGAGGAGGGAGCAACACCAGAATCTAGGGAGTATATAGAGGAAGAGCACCTAGGTTAGGGAAGTACCTGTTGGAGGACCAGCTAGGACTAGAGATTATCTGCAGGTGGAGTACCTAAATCAGATACTCCTGGGGAGGAGTAACCAACCTAAGAAAGTACCTAGGACAGTGGTCAGCAAACTCATTAGTCAACAGAGTCAAACATCAACAGTACAACGATTGAAATTTCTTTTGAGAGTCGAAAACCGACTTCTGCGCATGGGCCACGAAGTTTCAATCGCACTGTACGCGCACGCCTGTATGTGGTATTTTGTGGAAGAGCCACACTCAAGGGGCCAAAGAGCCGCATATGGCTCACGAACCACAGTTTGCCCACCACTGACCTAGGAGATAAGCATCTAGTTTAGGGGCGTACTCCCCCATAGTCTTTTATACCAATACTTTAATGAGACCTTCCCTCCTCACCACAACTTGTCACCACGTCCATCAGTTCTAAATACCTCTGGAATGACTACTTCCCTCCTTTGCAACCCTCTGCCACTTCACCAGTCCAAGCTGCCTTCATCTTGTACCTTAATTCTTACAATAACATCCCACTGGTCTGGCCCCATCTCTAGTCCTTTCCCCAGAGTAATGGGCCTAAAGCCCCAATCTGATCCCCCTCAAGCCCCTTAGAAATCCTTCCAGAGCTCCCCACACCCAGTGCTGCATGCAAATTTCTCAGCCCTGCAATCCAGCTCAAGGCCCTCAGGCCAAACTCTTCTTCCTCTTCCCACAGCTCCCTCCCACCCCCACACAGACACCTCCCACCTCACCCATCCTCTTTCCCAGTCACCCCCTCCCTTCTCAGTTTTTTTCCCCCGTGTGTGTGTGTGTGTGTGTGTGTGTGTGTGTGTGTGTGTCCCCACCATCTCCAATGCTAAATCAGGCCACACCAGTCGATGGTGAGGTTGTCCCAGGCCCCTCGGTGTGACCCCTTTCACTGGCCTCAACTATGAACTACCAGTCAGAACTGGCCAGTCACTAGATGGGCAGCTCCCTGAGGGCAAAGACTGGGCTGATGAATCTGTGCCCAGGACTGCCGGAGAGCTTGGCACTCGGCTGCACAGAGCCAGTTTGGAGTTGAGTGAGGGACAGAGCTGAGAGTGAAGATGGGAGTGGGGGTGGGGTTATAACGGGAGGGTGGGGGGGATGAATAACATTCAATGGGTGCCTCCTGTGGACCCCACACTATGCACTGGGTCCTCAAAAGAAAATAAGATTCCGTTACATTGAAATGAACTGAATTCCATTTGACCTTCCTTTTACTCCTGCTCCTTTCCTTCCTGCCCTGACCCTATGGTTTCTTCCCAAGGACATTGCCCCACACCCACAGGCAGTTCCCACCCCACGTCCTGTTTCTTCCCCTGACACACATCTCCTCTGATCCTCAGACACACACATCACACCCTGATTTGTAGCTCCTCTCCTGCTCCCAGGAGCCCTCGGGGATTTGTGGGTTCCTTCTCCCAGCCCCCCAGTGCTTCCCCTCTGCTCCTCACCTGTAGGAACTGTGCACAGCTGGTGGAGGAAGCTTCCGGCCGGGCCTGCAGATAGTGGGCGGGCCAGCACCGCCTGACTCACCTGGGGACGCAGCCTGTGGGGCAGAGGCTGCCGGTGAGGGCGGAGGGAAGGGCAGCAGGCAACGCCCACAACCAGGAAGACTAACTACATCTCCCCCTGCTTTTGCGGAGAACCTGAAGGCTCAGGCCTCACCCCCACCCCCATCCCTGGGGAGAGGAGGGTGGACTGGAGCTGTTGGGATCCTGAGAGGAAGGGGTGGTCCTATGGGCCCTAGAAGGGGCGGGCACTTCAGCGGGCTGCGGTTAGCAATGACTTTTCCGGTGACAGGTCCAAAGTCCGGAGCTGAGGAGGGAGCTCTGCAGACCTGGGAAGGCGATGGGCCGGAACCGCAGGGCAGGGGGGTTGGGCATTCCTTCCGGGCAAAGCCAGAGAGGCCAAGGACACACTCAAAATTGCCTGCAAGTGTGTGTGTGTGTGTGTGTAGAGTGGATGTGCAGGTCAATGGGCAGTGTGATTCAGAGGTCTTTTGGGATGGTATATGTATCTTTGTGGGGGAGGGGGGAGGTTATGGTGTGTATGTGTTTACCTCCATAGAGGACTCTAGCCTTCATCTGGATCTCAAGAATCCTGTGACCCCACAAAGCTAGGCTCTGAATCTCCCTTTTGTTCCACTCCTTGTCCTTGAAGATATGGGTTCAGGCGTCACTTTCCCTGAGCCCCAGTCTACCCCACAAGCTTGCTCCCTCCAGGTGGCGATGCCCCAGCATTCTCTCTCATCACTCTCTCTCCTGCTTGCCCTGCACACCCTCTGTCACAGCATTTCTCTGTGTATCTTGTAATGATTTTGATAGGGGCAGAAATAGAATACTGGGGCCCAGCTCTGATTGTAAGAAATCTTAGTCATGCTCTGGTATCTGCGATTGTTCTGTTCTGGTTAAAGGAGGCGCATTCTGCCGGAACCGGTTTGGCTCAGTGGCTAGAGCATCAACCTGGGGAGAAAGGTCCCAGGTTCGATTCCAGTCAAGGGCATGTACCTTGGTTGCGGGCACACCCCCAGTAGGGAGTGTGCAGGAGGCAGCTAGTCGATGTTTCTAGCTCTCTATCCCTCTCCTTTCCTCTCTGCAAAAAATCAATAAAACATATATATTTAAAAATAAAGAAAGCGCGTTCTAACCTGGCTGAGTGTTGCATGTGGGACCTGGGAGCTCACCTGGACATGCGGCCGTGGCCCACCCTCCCCACCTGTGCCCTTTTGCCTATTTCCCCACGTAATCTTTGTCCTTCTACTCAATATAAGCAGCTGGCTTATGCTGGAGGGCAGAGCAGATTTTTGTGGATGACCTGCTGCTCTCCCATACTGCCCGCAGTATTGGAATAAACGCTCATGTGATTCAACCCTGTCCCTGCTTAATTGGCTCAAGTAGTGACTGGCAGCACGGACCCATTGATTGTCCAGTTATAAATTTCTTCCTGTGCTGCCTCCCCCATTAACTCAGCAGCTGGATAGGGTGGGGCCAGATTTTAACAGTCTCCGGGCTGCTGGCGCCTGGCACAGGGCAGGCTCTCGGTGACTGTGTGAGGGAGGAAGGACTGTGTGAGCTAAGCCATGAGGGCACAGGACTTCACGGGTTCCCTCAGGCCACAATCCGAACAAGGGCTGTGCCCAGGGGTTGCAAGTGGGCCAAGCCCGAACTGTGACTACAAAGTGGGGGACCTTGCAGGACCTTGGAATTTTTAACATGGAATCTGAACTCTTCCAATGGCTCCTTCCTAGGTCTCCCACCTCACCTGGTGCTTACCTTTCATGCTCTCTCCTCCAGCCTCACCAAACTGTTCTCTGCTCTTGGAACCCACCACGCTTTCATCTCCCAGGTTCTGCATGCCCCGTTCCTGGGGCCCCTGATTTCTCCTCTCTCTCCTTCAGCCTCTCCCCCAATGTGTCCGTCATCTCTCAGGCTGATTTTCTCCCAGACCTACTCCTCACTCAGGCCCTAGTTAGGTGCCTCTGTATATAGATGGCCTTCCCCTACTCTCCCTAGTCTGCGTTCCTCCTCCCACACTCGGCACCCCCTCAGGCCTGGCGCTTCTCTCTCTTTGCCCTGACCACCACTGTTGTGGTTTTCT